TCGTGTTGTATTTAATTGCGCGCTCTCTCGTCTCTCTCTCTCTCTCTCTCTCTCTCTCTCACTCTCTCTCACTCTCTTTTATTTGTTGATATATATTTGTATGTAGAATATAATTAATAATCACGTAATACATGCAGGTATATAGGTAAGTTAAGATAACTATATAATTATATAACTAATGTTATAAGTACGCGAAGGCTACTCTTAGCTGCAATACAAGGCCTTTACCTCAAATGAATACTGCATCGAGCACAGATCACCACGGTCATAAAGACTTCCAAGAAATCAAATCAAAAGCAATTCCAGTACCTGATCGTAGCATGCAACCCCTAAAAATCATGTTCGGATTTAAACGTTAGCACATTTAACTTCGGTAATGGGCAAGGCTCTTGCAATGCCTTAGGTGGATTTTCTCGAAATTCTTCGCGAGTATATTCTTTTTATACACGTATTTGATAAATTGTCGCAATAAAGTATAATGCTCCCCCTTCAGATCATATCGGGAGCACTGTGCAACGGGAGGAGGACATTCAAGGTTGCGCGATTTCGAGACACTTTCTTACAACTCATGTACATTCATATTTTGTTACGAATACGTAACTGTTTCACGGTCAATGATTGCTTTGATAATTATATATATATTTGAATACGGAATACTTGCTTGCTTATCTTCTGTTAATTTAAAATGGAAAGAATTTACCAGACGAAAGCAGAATGACTTTGAATTGAACTGAATAGAAATTCTGATACCTCATCGAATCAACTTAGTTCGGCCTGAGAAAACGTAGTAATTGTGAGCTTAGGAGATCAGTCACGTACTGTGCAGCAAAATGCTATAACTTTCTAGTTACAATTACTTCTTCAAAACAAAATACTATACCCGTGGCATCCAAGTTTTAGGAAACAGTGTTAAAATTTCAAGGCAAGGAGAGGAGAATGCGGAAGTAAACATTGATTTCAAAAATCGGTAGCTTATACAGGAACAAAAATCGTCTCTCTTCTATAGCCTCGAGTCATTATCTTTCTCGTTCATGTCAAGGTATACATTACAGAATTAATCTCGAGTTATTCCCTCCAGTAAAGCATAGTATAATGTGCGCTTGATTGGTGGAATTTTTCTTCATTCACAGATACGGTGCTGGAAGCCATTTTCATTTTCCTGGAAAGTGGGAAGTACATTGCAACTGTATATCTTGTTTCCTCTCTTATGTTTACAGAAAAGAGAAGAAAATCGTGTGCGTGATGGGATAATGATGATAATAATAACAATAATTATAATAATAATGATAATAATAATAATAATAATAATAATAATAATAATGATAATAATAATAATAATAATAAAAATAATAATAATGATGATGATAACATCTGTTTAAAATAAAGCGTTTTTAACTATACCATTACCTTATCGAAGCGGTTACAGTATCTTGTCTATGTTGAACTTTTAAAGTTGAATTTTTGTGAAGAATAGAATTTGTCATGTACAACTATGAGCATGATTGTCTTATAGAAATTAATTCTGCATACTATATAATATTGTATAAACTAAATGTTAATGGATTAATGTTCGTGAAAATTACAATTCCGTGATGTGAATTTTAAAAAAGATCTAAAATAAAGCTAACTATAAACTAAATGCAAAAAGAGGAATATGGTGAAAGGTTAGTGAAAAATTCATATCGAACGAATAAAAAGGAGGAACAAACCCACAATCATACGGCATTTCTGCACCAATGGCGGTCCATGTATTTCAGCGTCAACTTTATTTTCGGAATCAATTTACATTATCAGGGGGAGGGGTGGTGACATGCCCCCCTTCATTTCCAAGATCGGTTGAAAATTTGTAGACCCCTCCCCAGGACGTCGATCAATTACATGTATGTGCCTCCCCCCCCCCCCCAAAAAAAAAAACGAGAAAAAAAAAACAACAACAACAACAAACAAACAAAAACGAAACAAGCATCTAACTCTGGCTACGATTACAGTATGTACACGTTCGCCTGGTTATGAATGCCTGCGCCCATGTGATGTTAACTATAGTAACAGGCGATACATTATGCCAAGAATATCTCTTGTACATGTTCGTATTGAACATTGTAAATTGAACGGCAGGAACAAATCTCATGGTTTCAGAAAATTCTTTTCTGTTAAATCAACTACATTTTGACGCGTACTGCGCATGCCATATCTGAACATTAAACCGCGGGGTTTTTTGCGGGGTTTTGCCACTTCACATTTTAACGGGCCTTAAATGGACGCGGTTACTGTGCTCTGTATTATAAAACTTAGATACAGAAATATGAAGCGCACAGTGATTTACACTTTACGTCAGTATAAAAAGAGTATTAAAAAAAAACCGCCGCGGTTTTGCCGTGTCTTATCTGAACGAGCCTTATAAGGCCTGTTCAAAGCGACGCCCCCCCCCCCTCCCCCCCCCCCCCCCAAAAAAGCGGTTTAAGTGGCGCGGCGAACGGCGCTATTTATGTAATGAGCCTGATGCGAACAAGTACTATGTCCCATTTGCAGGCCTAAAAATGAAAAGATTAAATTTCAACGGCATTTGAAAGACAATACTCATTTAGAACTCCCCTCAAAAACGAAAGGGCTTAAAAATGGCTTTTAGTGAAAAAATAACGACCATTAGTTGTCAAATTGACTTAAGTGATTGCAATCACCTAAGTAATGGTCTGATTTTCAGATCCTTTTACCGAATGGTCGTACATTTTTTGCTGTGCAAAGATTAAATCAGTTTAATGTTGATTACAAGTACGGTGAGTGATGTAGACACATGCTCATGTACCTGTTAAAGCTCATTATGTTATTACCAAAGAAAACAAAATGTCAGTCAGTCACTCAATAGCGTCTCACAGGGGGTCTAGAAGGTAACGGGTCTTCTTACATAATTTGAATACTAGGACACTGCTAATCTTTAAATTTCACATATATCACATTACATGACGTATTTATAATTCTTGCAAAGTTCTACAGAATTTGATGTTGGCCTAAAAAGGGACATTGTAACATTGTTCAGATGAGATAAAATGGTGCTTAGGTAGTGACGTCAATGCTAGATGTACAATTAAAGATAATCTGAAAGTTTGAGTGAAAACAGACCATTATTAATGACATATATTGGGAAAAAATGATCTGATTGATTCCTTAATTCTCCAAACTATATTATATTTAATCACATTTTAGGTGAATGTAAATCGTCACAAAGGAATGAAGTTGGCTCTGTATACCATTCCAGATATTTAAGTATTGAAAGGTTTTTAAAAGCCTGTCTGATGTCTTATTTTCATGGAAAAACGGTTGGGAAAATTCAAAAATGGTTGGGAGAATTTACAGTTAGAGGGTGTCGTACAGTGATGCCTTCAAAGAAAACCATAAATATCGTTGTGGTTTGAGAATTTTTTCAGGATTATTCGCATGTTAGAGGGTTAGTACAGTACTAGTAGGAATATAATACGTATACAAAGTTTTTTCATCAACCTTCAACTTCAAGATATTAATCTCAAAATTTGATAGGGTAAAACAACTTTGCCACCAGGCGGCAGAAATTTGATTTGCGGCCGAGCAGAATTTTTTGAGAAAAGTTTAACAGCGAATTGATGATTACAAAGTTCTACTTTGCGAATCTATCCTCACTAAACTGAAAATTCACTTTTCGTTTTTGATAGGAAATTTGCCGGGGAGGCCAAATAACTGCCCCCTTGCCCCCTTCAAATACGCTGGTGCAGATACAAAACTGAAAATATGAAGGGGATTTATTGGTAAACTAAAACATCTCCTTTGATGGAAAAGGCAAAAAATGCGTACCTTCATTAATATTTTGAGAGTACAATTATTAGTGTAGTCTGTTCGCAAAGACTACAACATCCCGGCCGAGACTAGGAAGAGAGAGAGAGAGAGAAAGAGAGATGAATCTTGGTTGCCTGGGAGACGCTTTCCAATAAGGCCATTCCTCAGCTCCCGTTCTCTTCCTCCGCATTCATCTCCTAGCCACTGATCTTCTTTTCCCCTCCATCTTCTTTTCTCTTCTTCTTCTTCTTCCTTCTCTCTCTCTCTCTCTCTCTCTCTCTCTCTCTCTCTCTCTATCTATCTCTCCCTCTCTCCCCGGCCCCTCTCTCTCTTTCTCTCTCTTGCTTTCTCTCCACTCTCTCCCTCCCTCTCTCCAACTTTCTGTCTCTATCTCCCTCTATCTCTTGATATTTTAAACTCCCTTTCTACCCCCTATCTCTCTCTCCGTCAATCCCTCATCCTCTTTCTCTTACTCCCTCCAGTTCTATGTATCTCTCTCCTCCCCCTCTTCTCAATGTCCTTCTTTTTATATTTCTCGTATTATAGTCTCTTCCTCTCTCCATCTCTGTCTCTTTCTCTCACACACACACACACGCACACACACAAAACCTCTCCCTCGCATCCTCCTCTGTCTGTACTTTCTCCTCTCCTGTCTTCACCCTCACTCATATTCGATTTTTGTTTGGGATCTTTCTCTCCTTCCCTCTTTTCTAAGTCTGTCTACCCCCCCCCCCCCCCCCCCCCTGTCTGTGCTATCCTCTATTCCTCCTTTGCAGTTTTCCCTCTCTGTTTCCCACCCTAACCATGTTACATTTTGTGACCCTTATATTTTTTCGAAACTTTTAATTCCTCCTTGGAATATGCCTTCATGGTAATGTTATCCATTTTCCGCCACCATTTTCTCAATTTTCCCTTCGGGTTGGAAAAATTGAGATAAGATATTCAATCTCTCTCTCTCTCTCTCTCTCTCTCTCTCTTTCTCTCTCTTCCTCTCAACCCACATTATTGCTCTCTCTACTTGCTCTTCTCTGTTCCCCATCTTCCACCCCATTCTCTTTCTCTAAAACTATCTCCTCTGCATCATCACCTTTCCTGTGTCCCTCTTCCTCTTCGTTCTCCTCTCTCTCTCTCTTCCTCTCATCCTCTGTCTCCTTAACGTTCTTATCTCCTTCTCCCTGTTCTTCCATCGCGACTAGCTCATTAACATAATTGCCGTTGCTGGACGGTGCATAGATACACGGGCACCCCAAATGCTGCAGAGAAAATAGAGAGAAACACACACACACCACACACACTTACACACAGAGCACAGACTCCCGCTCCAGTTATCTTATAACACCGTGAATGCAGCACTCCAGCTCCCCCATACATTCCCCGTGTTTTATGCGTACATGTTTTACAGTACTTCGACCGTGCATGGAATACAACATTACACCCGGGTCTACTGCTGTGCACCGCAAAGCATAGGGGAAGCCTGTCTGGCATATAATTTTCTGGCGGGATACAAGGGGAGATCCATTTTTGGTTTGGGCTCGGAAAAATAGGGGTATCCTCGGCTCTTTACCCAATACCCAATGACCGAGTCTGTATGTCGGCTGTAGAAGGATCTCGGTGGAGTTATTCTAGCTGGCCATTGGGTAAGTAAAGACATTTTTTTTCTCTCCAGTGCTCCATCTTTCATTTCACCATCTCTCCTCATTCTCATCTTCTTGCATCAGTCTCCATCTCATACACGCATCAGCTGGTTGGCTCCGCGGTATATCTTCTGTATTTGAGATGTGTGTATGCATGTAGTTCCACGGTATTTTAACGTTCTGTATGTATACTGTATATTACATACATCTATTCTAGGTAAATACATGGATACACATGTATATATATTATATACGGGGAAGAGTAGATCGAAATGGATGAAGAATTTACTGGAAACCCTTGAAATTCAACGTGTAAGAATTCAAAGCAAAAGTGAAACGAAATTAATGGATCGAAATACTCCTGCGGTTATCCATGCTCAATGACAATGAGTGTCATGGCCTTGTTGTCCTTATATCCAATGCACTGATTGTGTTTTTAACAACATCAAGCGCGCGTGTTTTACATCAATTAATTTCCACCATAAAGACGAAGACATCGTAATAATAAGAATAAAATCTTGCTCAAGTTCAGTTTGGTTTCACTTAGATATGAAAGGTCTATCTCTAACCTCATGAAAGGTCAAATACCGGTCACCTTATATTTCAGAATTCAGAGTATTATGATTGTAGTGTTAGGCTTATATAAGCCTTTTACGTCTCAAACTGAAAAGGCAGTAAACATTAGTGGGGCATGTGCTCTATAAAGAAAAACAAAGCCGTGCCCATTATTTTGTTTTGGTTGGGAGGGGATGTGCATGTGTCAACTAGAGCATCAAAAACATTATCCGACGACCTAACTTGTGTAATCAACTACATGTATACATGTATGTAAAACATTACAATGGATCACTAAAATGTTTATCACAAAATGCAATTGAATTTGAAATGAATAAAAGGTGATCAGAATAATGAGACCATTCATAATATCAGTGGCAAACAATGGAAACGTAACGTTTGTTAAATTGTTATGATTACATTTTTCTCAGAAGATCATTGTATATATATATATATATATATATATATATATATATATAATTGAGTGACAGTTATTGATGTATGAAATGCAGATACCACGAGAATCATTCATCTCAATATTTCTATTTTAAAAATATTTTCGTTGTGAACTTGTGCTGTATATTTTGCAAGAAATTATGTATAGAATCATAATGCCAAGTTTTTAGGCCCGATTAGATATCGACAAAGATTTACGGGATATTTTTTGGTATGTATATTATGTCATATTCATTTACTATCTCATACAGTACAGATTATACACAATTTCATAGTCAACTGCGGCGAGCAATTGATGTTTTGACTTGAAGAAGCTGAACAATAACTCCAATGTTTATGCTATATTGATATCCCTGAATGGTTCAAATTCCAAAGGTCATCATCCTGTTGTACGTGTTAAAATGAGAAGATTATACTTTGTATTTTAGACCTTCTTCATTCCAAAACAGATCAATTTGTTTTCCATCTCTGTCATCGTGGATAATGAAACACAACAAAAATGAAACCTTGCCTGTTAGAATGTACTATTAGTTATCATACTGTAGTAATGAAGAAGAGTGCAAGGAAATCACTCTTTGATGAGTCGTATAAGGATCATATCAGTTTAAATTTATATCTACTCCAAGTAGTGTTTTGAATTATTCTTTTGAGGGTTTATTCCACTATTTTGAGGATGGATTTCATCTCCAGACCCGTACATGTAGAGTATTTGTACTACACGTACTTAACAAACTTTCTGTTGTATGTTCTGTTTCATGTATTCATGATTCCATGATTTCCTTTGAAGTTTGAAGACTCGAGGTTTCCCTTCCACTTTATTCTTAATTCCATTCTCATAAATTTCATGATTTTTCCAACATAAATCTGTGGGACAATATTGCCACACAAACGTACATTAATGCGCTGCTTTATAAATCTCATAAAGTCATGATTTTCCAAACATAAGTCTGTGAGACAGTTTTCCTACACAAAACACATTTATGCACTGCTTTCAATGTAAATCTCATATAGTCATAATTTTCCCAACATGAATCTGTGAGACAATTTGTCCACACAAACATATTATACTATGCGTTTCTTTGTGTGGTATCACGAGCAAGCAAGGACACTGCTCATTGTCCAGTACGAATATGTTTTTGTAAAACAGAGCGGGGGAGAACAACAAACACGAATATTATAACTCATTCCAATAATTTTATTCTTACTTACCCAGACCCACAATCATGCCATATACGGCATACACTTCTATCAAACAACAAGCGCATCGTATATTTTCAACAATGCACTTGTATCTATACTTGACATGCATGGTTGGATTGTCATGCGCTTTTTGGCACAATAAACACGAAAAGGAAAAAATATTATAGCAATTTCGTAGGCCTGGATTCTCTAGTCTGGAATGTATGAATTGGCTTTTTAAATTATAACGGTACATATTTTTTGCAAAGAAGAGGAAGCTAGCAGGAGAAATGCAAGTATAAAATTCAACGATTTAATCCCTAGACAAATAATGAAGGAAATATGTGTAACATGTACGGGTACCATCTTAGAAAAGGGGAAGGATCAGGCCGTCATTTAATAATGGTTATATGAAATAATAATCGATTATTAATTAGCATAACGTATTCGAATCATGCATGGTAACAAATAATGAAAATATTTGTTTAACTGTGGTAAATTAAGATTTAAGGGTCACTGTGACTTATCCATGAGAAAAGAAGCACCCTCCCCTTGTAACTGTATTTTAATGGGTTTTTAGAATATCATGAAGGCAGAACTCTTAAAGATAGTCCTTTTTAGATTGTATGTCACTTTTATTCATCTGTCAAAAATAATTAAGCTCATATAAATATTTGCATTTATGAGTGATTAATTCAACAGACAATCCTCAGATTCCGTACTTCACTCAAGTAAACTCTCAAAGTCTCAATAAATAGCTTTACAGGAAAAAGGCACATCATATTTTTCATATTGCATCTTCAAGATTAGCATCGTTTCAGGCATCTCTGTGGAGAATATTTTCTGAATTATAGTATAAGTCGTTAACACGTTAAACCAGACAATCGATTGAAAGGCGAAGAAACATGTAGGCTTTAGACACGGGAAAGACAGGATAGATCTCTCTGTCGTCTTGTTGTTGTTGTTGTTAGGTTCCATCGAGTCGTCCCCGACTCTTGGTGACTTAATGGACATTAATTTACTAGTCATTTGGTAATGGTCCAAAATTCAATAAAGGAAGGTTCATGCACTCCAAGTTTATAAATTTCATATATATATTCATTTAAAATTTGACAATATTGAAAGGTAGAAAGTCCTGATGCAAATGAGTCACTGGTATTTGTTTGCTCATTGTGATATACCGCCGGAAGTAAATATTTGTATATTATTTTACTATAATGATAACTGTCTCGGTCAGATGAATTTTCCTTTGTTTCGTTTCGTATTTACGATGAGCAATGTACATGTATTGTATGCTAAACGCCATTAAGTTCGTTAAACCTTGGTAGTTGGTGCATGTACCAGTACCAATAAGTTAAGAGCCATGCAGCTGTATAATTATGTAATTAATCTGTGAACCTCGAAAAACAAATATTCTAGTTTGAAGAAAATCTGTAAAAAGCTAGTAATTTGTATTTTGTAGACATACGAGAGAATTTAGGAAGAAAAAGAAAATATTCTATAGTATAGATAGACCCAAACGTATGTTTTTTTTTCAAGGTAATCATTGGTATAAAATATGAAGTCGCAGTTGTTACATTTATATTGTAGTTGAAGTTATGATTATAGTCACTTATAGTATGGGCATAGTTATGGTTGTAGGTTATAGCTGCATGCAGTTATAGTTACATTTATAGTCGTAGTTATATAGTTATCGAGGACATGGGATGGAAGCTTTATTCTTCATGGGTATGACCACACTATGTTTCATAGATGTGGATCATGTGGTATTTACTCTATGGCTATCAATCTCGTGAATCATAATGACCAAAATATTCAAAGGTCAAACGAATAAATTTATTTTCCTTATACACAACCTAGTTGTTGCTGAGAAGACCTAAAGTGAACCGGTAGCATTGTTAAGGTTGATGAAAAACTGCGTAATTTTTGTATTATTACATATTATATTCCTTCTACTGTTCTAACCCTTTAACATGCTAAAAATCATGAAAAAAAATTCTCAAACCACAAACTAAAATATTTATGGTTTTCTTTGAAGGCGTCACTGTGCGACACCCTCTTAGGCTCTAACAGTAAATTCTCCCAACCATTCTTTCGAATTTCCCCAAACGTTTTTCCTTAAAAATAAGACAAAAGACAGGCTTTTCAAAATCTGTCAACACTGAAATGTCTGGAACGGTATATAATGCCCATTCATTGCTTTGTGGCGATTTACATTCACCTAAAATTTGATTAAATTATGTAAAAAAAAGATAGTTCGGAGAATTCAGGAATCAAACAGATCATTTTTTTCTCGTTTTTTTTCTCTCATCAGATTTTTTCTCATCTGAAACAAAGTTATCAAGTCCCTTTAAAGAGGTGAGAGATCTGTAGGACGAGGGAAATTGTTGTTGCTACAATAATATTGGAAAAGACAAAAAGAGGAAGGAGATTTTAATGAGTAAGGTGGGGGAAGAGATGAAGCTGAATGTAGAGCAATTAGAGAAAGTGAATTGAGATATGAATTGTATGGGAAAATAATATAGTTAGTATGATTTGACAGCCAGGTCATATCGAAAACAAATATTCTAGAGAGAGGAAAATCTGTAGAATAGAAGGAGGATGGGGGCATAAATCCAGTCAGGTAAAAAATAGGATTTCGCTATTATATCTAGGCCTACTTCTCGAACATGTCGAATAAGTTGATAAAAAAAGCTATGTCTCAAATTTACCGTAGTAGATGGAACGTAGAGTTTTACATCAAGTGCTCAAGATTCTCTAGTTTAATTTGACAATTTGACCTACTACAGAACAACACTATGTACACGTAATTA